CACCCCCGCGCACGGGAGTCGGAGCGCTGCTGGCTTCCTTCGCGCAGGCCTCGGAGGCGAAGCCCGTGAGGAGAAGAAAAGGGTCTAGTAAAGCGATGTGTCGCACCGAGAGGGTTCTGGGGGCTGCAGATAACTTGTAAAACGTCCTGAAAACCCCGGCGGTTGTCTGTTCCGAGCTCCGTAGCTGGTTGCTGTGACCTGTGCAACTGTTACTTTTCTGCTCGTCAGCTGCAGGGTTAGATACAGTTCAGGAGATTCACTCTTGTGCTCTTGTCTTTAAATGTCAGCTTAATCTGTTAGCTCTTCTGCTTCCTGGTCTAAAAGAAAGCCTCTTTTCTTTATTTGTTTTTTTTTTGTTTGTTTTTTAGTACAGACCACTAAATCTATGCAAGTTGTTATGGTTAACCAGGCAAAGAACACATCTCTGAATTTATTAGTTGAACAATTAGCTGGAGTAAGAAGTCCATAAATGGAAAGTATTGAATTTAATGTTCAAATGGAAATTAGAAAGACATGCTTAAAAAGGGAGAAATCTTACTTCATAAATACCATGAAATGCTTTAATTTTGTTAGTGATGTGCTCACTTGAGTAACAAAGGAAAAGGAGGCACAATACAGATGAAGGACTTAATACCATAGTGCGTGAGATGGCTGAAGGCTAAGAATCCATCTAAAATGTTAAGCTCTAATCAGTGGCTTTTAAGTGTCTAGGAAGAATCACTATGTTAATACAAACTTGATACGATGATACGTAAGCTGGTAAACCTGTTTGAAGTGGTGAGCTGTGTGAATAAGTAACTATGGTAGTGTTACGGGTAAGCTAAATGGAGGCAGAATTTATGTAGAAGTACTGAAAGGGGTTTTAGGATTAATTTAACAGAAGTCATGTTTTCTTTATGGATTAGTTCCTTTGTGCACAGTGTCTCTTGCGCCTATTGATGCAGAAGTTACTTTATATAGGGCAATACAAAAGGTCACTAAATTAACAAGGAAGTCACAGTAGGGTTTAAGCTCTGTAAACTGCTAATTTTTCAGTATGTTTAGAGGAGCTTTCATAGGAAGGACTACTTTGAAGGTGTCATTTTGTTTGCAATGGCATATAGTAGCTGTGGGATGAAGAGACCTCAGAATTGTTTTCCTGGAGAATTCCTCAAAACTAATTAGTCTTTGTATACCTATATATAAACACTAGTTCAGTGTTAGCACTCCCAAAATAGAGAACCACAACGAAATGTGAGATATGCCATTTCACTCGTATTTCTTCAGGAGAAACCTTCCTTGAACTAAAGGAGATTACCTTTAAAACTGTTTATATTTCAAACAGGCTTTTACTTGCATATTGCAGTCTTGCACAGAGAAGAGAGGAAGCTGTAAAATGCATCAATCCATCTTACTACAGTAAAAACTGAAAGCCTCACACAGTTCGGTTGGTCTAGATCATGAACTATGCGTGATTTAGACGTTTTGATAAGCCAGGACAACCTACTGAAAACAAGCTAAACTCAGTTTTAATCCTAAGCTTGATCCTGACATTGATTCTCATATGGGTATCATTCAGTTATTAATATAACATATTGTTTATTGATACCATGTGTTCTGCAGGCATTTGGTTATGATAGCCTTACATGTGCTGGTGTGTTTTAAGTAGTTGACTGTTAGGCTGCTTGCACAGTTAAGATGTGGCTTAGGTCTTGGATCAAATTAAAAGCGGCTCAGTGCTCAAGAATCAGTTGGACTCTCCTGATCTAAGGGTTTGTAAACTTTCACCAACTAACAGGATAAGTAGTCGATTTGGGGAAAATATGAAAAATGAAAGGGGAAAATAACTTACTGCTGAGAAGAAAGTGATAAAAACAGATGTGGCAGATTTACATGTTTCAAAGGGAGCTGTTGTTTTTTCAAACAGGTCTTAAACAGCTCTCCCTTCTCCTCACAATGTTTTATGTTTTAAAAAAAAAAAAAACTCTATCTGACAAAGCTGTTTGTTTTCCAGTGGAAATTAAAAAAAATCTATTAGAAGCTTTTCTTCCCTGCTTTCCTATAGAACACTTTCTTCATTCTTCTACTCTGACAGTTTGCAGACAGTTAATAGGATATGGGAAGTATCTCTTGCTTTTAAACAAGTTTTGGTATAAGGTTGTTCAAGACTGGAAATGCAACACTTATTCCTCAGTAGTTATCAAATGGATAGTGTGAAATAAACTTGGCAGTAAACAAATCCTCTTTTTTAGTTTGTTCTGTTTAGTAGCTTCACCAGCAAAATACCTGATTACCCATGATTCAAAGCTTATAGAAAGTCAGCTTACCTTTTTACCTCCAAGAACTTTTTCCCTCTGTTTGTACAGTACAGGCTCTTTTGTAGAAGCCTGGGTAAGAACCTGCATTGTTGATGTTACCTTCCCTCCAAAATTCTGCTGTCCTTCTCTTAGCTTTCATTCTTTAGAGCTCTGTCCAGCAGGTAAGCTAGCCTTGCAGGTGCTTGCTTTCAGCTTAATTGGATAACTTTTAACTCTTTACTTCCTGGTGGAAGTGGCAACTCTGTTTCCTCATAGAATTAAAATGTAATTATGACATTGTAGATTGTTTTATTTCGTGGATGCCTTATTTCACATTCTGCAGTTTTTTATGAAATAAGCTGTTATTTAAAACTTTTTTTAAGAGATTTGTGCTCTCTTAGGAGTGATGAGTTTTCAGCATAGTAAGTTGATAAGGCATGGATTACAGAAATCACTTAGGCTATTTAAATGAAACTAGTGTGTATGCAAAGTGATGGTTCTTCTGGATGTCCTCTACTACTTTTTTCTAGACAGCAGTGTAAACATTTTAATCTTTAGACCTTTTTCCATTAATATTACAGGATTTATTTAAAAAAAATTCACTCAAAACTGAACTCCCTGAACAATTTCTGTTTAACTTAAAAAAATAACAAAAAGTATACAATTTGTCTTTATTTCCTAAAATGAAATTGTTTCTTCAAGATGAAGGATTTACCTATAGCTACTACAGGGCTTAACCTAATAAGTAACAGAGCCGCATATGCTCCAAATTGAAATTTGAAAGACTCCAGCTTAAATGTTTTTCAAATTGGGTCACAACTATGTATTTCTGAAATTGCAGAATATTTGCAAAAATGTCTTTATTGTTTGGTCAGAATAAAGGGATTTTTAAAACTTTATTTTAATAGAAGCCACAGTCATCTAATTTGCTAAGATACTGTAGTTGGGGGGGTCTTTGAAACATAAACTTCACAATGGAATCATGATTAAAGATGATTACTAACTTATTTACCATTTCAAGTTGTATTGAATGGTACCATGACTGACATATATGTAAAGTTCAGTTTATGCTTACTTGATGGCACATTCTGTAGAACTGACTATTGGCATTACCATGTTTGTCTTATTCCTCCATTTCATATATGGGACAAGAATAGTCATAACAAGTATATAACTGAAAAATGCTCAAGTCTTTACTTGTCTGCATGATATACATCACACCTTTGACCTTCAGAATACACTACTCATATGTATACAAAATATGACACTTGCACCTTGCTGTGTTAGTTTAGACTACTAGGTGGGACTTTGAAGATCTGCAGTTCATTCCTGGCTGTTCTAGTCTCTGCTAGGTGACATCAGAGAGATGACTTTTCTTACTCGTGTCTCAGTTTCCCCATCTGTAGCGTAGAGATAATGATGCTTGCTTTTTTAGAGATTAAAAAGTACTGGGCATTTATTATTAGCTGTGGTCAAGTGCCTAAGGACACCTTAAAAAGGTACAAGTAACCTAATTAGTCTGTTTTGAGCAGACATTGTAATTAGGCTGAATATTCAGCAGTAACACTACCTTCAAATACTGTTCAGCTAGGACAGATTACCCTCAAATCATTTTGAATTACTCCTGTTTCTTCAGAACAAAGTAGTATTACATTCCAAGTGAAAA